TGATTTTGGGGGGAGTTGGAGCAAACCAGCTGGAAACCACGGTGGGCCTGGGAGGGATTGAACCTGGGCAGGAGCTTGGGCTGCACCAGGGGGGGTCTCACAACGTGAACCTTCGGGGGTCTTTTTAGGGGAATTTGTAGAATTTGTACAGTCACATAAAGGAGCAAAAATGACAGTGGGACTGTGTTGTCGCGGTCCGATAGGGAAGAGGGGACAGGACACGAGGAAGGGTGCAAGCAGACTTCTTTATTCAGGCGTCTGTCTGATTCTTAAAACCTCCCGCCAGGGGAAGGGGCAGAACATCGGGTGGGCTATCAGACAGACAAACGGGGCAGCAAATCAGAACAGGGCACAGGCAAAAGGGGGAGGAGGAGCATGGATACAATGAAACCACATAATAACATTAAAGTCCATATGAAAATCCTGCCAATTGCTGTATGCTTTTCTCCATGCCTGGAACTCTTCCCATCCTGAATCTTGCTTCTCTACAGGACTGGGTGAATCAGTAACTGCACTGGCTCTCTTTTATTTTTCAAATTGACACTTCAGTTTTGCAAATACTAAAACCTTCACCAGCCCACTGGTTTCTGGCTCAGAATTGGATTTGGGAGGGATTGAACCTGGGCAGGAGCTTGGGCTGCACAGGGGGGGGTCTTACAAGGTGAACCTTCGGGGGTCTTTTTAAGGGAATTTGTTGAATTTGTGCAGTCGATACTGTGAGGCAGAAGTGAAAGTAGGACTGAAATTTTGGCTTGAAATCAGGGAGCTCAATTTTTGCATTAGAATTCTGCCAGCTCCAGCAGGTCCAGGCACGTGATAGTTAAGTTTCTGAAATAACTAACCCTTCACCTGTAGCAGTGCTTCCCCGCTTAGGGCTCAGATCCAGCTCAGAGCTTGCAAGGTCTGGCCTTTAATGTGTTCAACTTTGGAAATCCCCAGGGTGCTGAAGCACCACCCCCTTCCGGCTCATCCTGTGTTTGTTCCTTTTTCCTACCAATTTAACCCTCCAACTGCTCTGGAAACGCTGTTATCTGAGCATTCCTTGAGTTTCCTCCTGCAAATCCCCTCTGAGGGAATCGCGTTGTGCTTTTTTCACATCTGTTTACACACAATCAAACCTTTGCAGCTTTCAGAGCTGACTTTTGCAGTGAAATATTGCTGTTTTATCAGGTCATGTTCCTGTTGAGCTTCTGTTGGTCCATTTGGTGCTGGTAATAACTTACAGAAGACCCAAGAGGACCAAAAGCTGCTGCCCCTGTTGGTTGGGAGTGCAGGAAACCAGGTCGTGCTCCTGCAACAGTGGGCACAGGGAGGGGGAGGAACCAGAGCAGGGATTCCTGTGAGCAAAACAAGCTCAACACAGAAAACCCGAACAGAACAGGTGCTGTGAACTGTCACAGGCTATTTTCCACCCTGAGTGTTTTTGCAAAAGGGCCCCAAAGCACAAACTCTGCTCCGAGCCCTCGGTGCCTCTTCTGAGCCCTGAACAGGCTCCTGTCCCCTGCAAACACTTCAGCTGCCTTTGAGCTGTGAGCTCTCAGTGACTTACTCATTTAATAGTTAAAGTGCCTTTAAACTTGTCTTTTTCTTTCCTTTCTGCTTAATTTGTTGGGGTTTTTTTCCTCTTTAATCTTTGTCCTTCCCCTCTCTTTCCCTCCCTTATCTTTTCCCCTCCCCTCCCTTTGGTCCTTTTTGCCGCCTCCTGTGAAGGCATGTTCAGCTTGGAACAAAGTCCTGTCAGGCTGCCCTTGGCACCACGACAACGCTGAGAGCCAGTGCCAACCCCACAGGGGCTGTTGTGGCTGGCTGGGCTGTGGCCCAGAAGGTCTCAGCTCCCTGCAGGTCCCCTCAGCCTCTCCTCTCCTTCCACCCCAGGCTGCCGAGTGCGTCCACCCCACAGAGCTCAGGGAACGTCAGCCCCGGGCCCTGAGGCTTCTCTGTCCCAATGGAGAAAGAAACCCAAGAGCCAAATTCTTCAGGCCAAGTGGAAGCCCTGAACGTCTGCAGTGATTCAGAGAAACAGTGCAAATGGGGTAATGCTGGGAAATCCCAAACACTCTGGGGGTGGGAAGAGCATCTCACTCTGAGCGGCACCAGTGGGATGGGGATGGAGCCTTTGGGTGGGTGTGGAGGAGCCCAGGCACAGCTGCACTGAATTCCACGCTGTGGAATTCACCTCTGGAGGCTGAAGAACCGTCTCCAGGCCCTCAAACACACCTCGGTGACTCTGAAGGACTCCTGAGCCCCCAGAGGGATCCCTGGATGGGCCTGGGTGGGGCTGGGGATGGACTGAGGGTCCAGCACAGGAGGGCAAAGCAGAGGGGAGAGGAGCCAGGCCATCCTCACCCTGCTCTTTCCTGCCCCAGGGTCCTACAGAACCGAGTCAGACCAGAGAACATCCCCCAAGGTGCGTGTTCTTCTCGCTCTGAGTGTGTCCCTGGGGATCCTCACCTTGAGCCTGGCTGGAGCAGTGATTGGTGAGTCCCACCCAGGCACCCCCAGGGGGAGGATTCCAGGACTTTCCTGGCATCCAGGGAGGCTCCCAAAGTGGGTGACTCCCTTTTTTCCTGCACTTTGCTCAAGGCACCAGCTTCTCCCTCAGTCACACCTTTTCCAAGAGCATCATCCCCCAATTTCCTCTTCCAGCTGCTGGAATAAACCAAGGAATCAATCCCATTTTGCTGCTTTTCAGGGCTGCCCACGTGTCTGACTCAGCTTTCTGTGTTTCAGTTCTCAGTGTGAGACACAGGTTCTCTGAGCTGGAATTCTCCCACGTGTGCCCAGACACCTGGCCTGGTTTCCAAGGAAAATGTTATTATTTTTCTGAGGCTGAGGGCAACTGGACCACGAGTCGGGAAAGGTGTGAGGCCCTGGGAACTTCCCTGGCCACCATAAGCACGAGGGAGGAACTGGTGAGGACTGGGATGAACTGGTGAGGACTGGGCTTGAGCCTCTGCAGCAGCACCGGGGTGGGAAACACGGGGAAACCAAGAGGATAAAACCAGCCCCAAACCCCCCAGGTTGGCCCCAAAGTGCTGCCAGTGCTGGAGCCGGGAGCCAACCCCTTGGGAAAAGCCCCAGGTCTGATTGAGGGTGGACACAGGAGGGAAAGAGGAGGTGGGGAATGCAAGACTGGCCAAAGCCAACGTTTCTTTGCTTTCCAGGCCTTCCTTCTGCGCTATAAAGGCGAAGCAAACCACTGGATCGGGCTGGAAAAGAGGGATAATGGCTGGGAGTGGATCAATGGCACGGCCTTGAACGGCAGGCGGGTCCCTGTGCCCGTGCTGGAGCCCTGGGGTGGGCCCAGGGATTTCCTGGAGTCTGGGATGCCCCATCCTGGGATGGGCACCTTCTCCTGCCCCGTGTCCAGGCAGCTCCTGGCTTTCCATGGGGGTTGGGATGGGCTGAGGTCGCTGCCCCCCAGCCCTGATCAGAGAATTAGAGACCCCCCCC